GATAGTTAATTGTTTGTTATAGGATATAAATTGATATCCTGTATTTGTTGAATCAGTTTTTAAAAAATTAAAATTCTAAGGATATATAAAATGTCCTAGAAAATCAAATTCAGCTAATAATAAAAGAAAAAAACATAATGAAGGAAAATCAAATTAAGCTGATACCATTTCCTGCCAACAAGTAGGCAGAGATTTTTAAAATAACACTCCACAGGGGTGAAAGGGCAGTGAATGGATATTTCATGTATTACCAATAGGAATATAAATTTATATAGCCCTTTCCTGAAAATACTTTAACATGTATTAACAATTTCAGAGAATTCATATCCTTTGACTCAGTAATTCTTAGAACTGTTCCTGAATATTCTTTGTTTGACAGAGAGAGAGAGAGCAGAAACACAAGCGGGGGAGTGGGAGAGGGAGAAGCAGGCTTCCCGCCGAGCGGGGAACCCGATGCGGGGCTCGATCCCAGTACCCTGGGATCATGACCCGAGCCGAAGGTAGACGCTTAATGACTGAGCCACCCAGGCGCCCCAGAACTGTTCCTGAATATTCTAAGTAAATAGAAATTTGGGGAGTGAATTAGATATAAGGATAGTTACTGCAGTCTTATTTATAATAGTAATAAAATAGAAGACTAAGTGTCCAACAAAAAGTACAATGTTTACATGTGAAGTCATGGATTATTGTTACAGTGAGATTATGATATAAATATTGTAAATGGTGTCTTCAGGAAATAAATGAGATAAGAGAATGCTCATGTTAGAAAGTTGAGAAAAATAACAAAAATAAAATTTAAAAAATAAAATTATAAATTTTATGTGACTGTGTTTAGTTAAATAAAAAATAATAAGCAAAACAAATTTTTACATATTCTGGCAGTCAACAGATACTTATTGAGCGCCTACAATGTATATGCATTATAGTTGGAGTTTGAGATAGACTTGGTCCTTGGCCTCAAGAACTTAATTAATCACTTAAAATTATAGAATGGCATACATTCAAGAGTTCTGAAGAAATTTAAAGATGAACCTGTTAGATTGTTGATCAGCAATTTTCAGTATCAAGTAACAAAAAAACTGGTAAATGTCCAGTAAGATTTCAAAGCATAAGGGAAGTCTCCAATAAACATATATTTAATCACTATGTTGTACCTGAAATTAATATGTGTCAATTATATCTCAGTTAAAAAAATAAGTTCTTCAGAAGAAATTTTCTGAATACTAAGCAACCACATGAGATCTTTCATAGTCTGTTTGGGGACTGCAACTTCTGTATGGGAATAGCAGTGATGTCTTGCCATTACCTTATTAACATCTTATTTTTAAAGACAGTGGAGACTTGTGGAAGCAAAAAGGTTGAGGTGAAATGACATTCCAGGGAGGGAAGAGCTCTTTCTAGGTGAGCTGAGATTGCTGGCCATTGTCTTGCCTGAAAACATTTGCAGTATCTGGATACAGGCTGAGATTAAGGTCAGTATTGCAGAGGGACTCAAATAGGAGAAAGAGAAATCAGTAGAACTTTTGATGGCCAGGTGAGTATTACATTTTGGAACTTCGAGGAGCTTCAGATGCACAACAAACTTTACTCATTTGCTAAGTGATAGGTTTGCATGACAGCTGGGCCTATACTAGAAATACAGAGTGAAATCTTAAGTTTCAGCAGCACTTAGGAGACAGTTCCTCCCCAAGGGAGCAAGGGGCCAACAACAAACACATAACAGGTCTTACCCTTGAGACATTTGAAGCCACGATGACTTGATTTTGAACCTACCTTAAAACCCATCCCCAAAACCAGCTCAGTTTTTTACTGGATTGAGGTAAGCAGCCACTCACCCCTCAACCTAACTGCCTGCCAGGGTAGGGGTAATCCTCTGTGAAAGAAAATAACATCTAATTTTGTCTCTGCAGTTTGTTGTATAAACAGACTAAGAAGTGTAGCATACAATAAGAAATTACAAGAAATGTGCAAGGCAGGAAAATGTGACCAGTAATTAAAAGGGAAAAAATGAACAATCAAAGCAGATCTACAAATAATCCAGATTGTGGACATAGCAGGAAAAGACTTTAAAGTAATTATGATTCATACGTTAACAAGAGGAAAGGCGGACAATATAGATAAAATGAATTGGAATGTATACAGTAGAATCAAATGGACATTTTGGAAAGGCAAAATCCAATATCTGAAATTAAAAACTGGTTGGATGGTGACTAGACACAGAAAATGACAGAAGTAGTGAATTCAAGTATGGTTCCACAATAAATACCCAGTTTGGAGAAGCATATACATAAAAATAAAGAGCAGGATAAAGTGAAAGAGATGTGGGACACAGCCATATGATTGGCATACATGTAATTGAAGTTCCAGGAGAAAAAGAGGTAAATGGTACCAGAGCAACTTGAAGAGATAAGGGCTGAGAGTTTTCCAAAACTGATGAAAGACCGTAAGATGTCTTACAGATTCAAGAAACTCAGAGAGCCCCAAACAGAATAAAAATAAAATTTTTCAAAAATACCTACGAATATCATAAACTGTGAGAAACCAAAAATCATGAAAAAAAATTTAAGCAACTAGAATTGGAACAAAAAAACTGGTGACTGTATACCTTCTCCTTGTTGACTACACGGGGAGACTGTTTGCTTTAGCATTTTGAAGATGGCATGCCACTGTTACCAGGTTTCAATAGCTTTATGCTGTGTAACCAGGTAACACTGGAACAACATCCTTAAAATGCTGTTTTTAAAAGTGAAATTAAGATGTTTTTAGGTTTAAGGAACTTAAAGAATTCCTTCCCAATAGACTCACACTGTAACAAATATTAAAGGAGGTTCTTTGGACCAAAGGGAAATTATCCCAGGTTGAAGGATAGAACTACAGGAAGGAATGCAGGGCAAGAGAAAGCTTATATAGGTAAATAAAAAAGAACAAGAACAATGTCCGTGCAAAGCAGCAGTGCTGATGTATAGGATATACAACATACACAGAACTGAAATACATAACAGTGACACAGGAAGAAGGTAAGCAGAGGCAAACTATTGCAGGATTCTTCCATATGTCAGATAAATGGACAGGAAAAAATCAGTAAGGATATCAAACATTTGAACGCAGAACAGCCATGACCGAATTGACACAGCAGCTACAAAATACACTCTTCTTAGGGGTGCATGGATCATTTACACAAATAGACCTTGTGCTGATTCAGAGAGCAACTTAAAATTTGTAAAGGATTAAAATTATACAGATTATGTTTCCTAACGAAAGGAATTAAATTAGAAATCAATATGGAAAGATAACCAGGTGAATCCCCAAATGTTGAGAAATTAACGACACACTCCTAAATAACCTGTGAGTTAAAGAAATCACAACAGAAATTAGAAAATGTTCTGAACTGAGCAAAAATAAAAATCATGTGACAATGGGCAGCTAGGGTGTGCTTAGAAGAAATTTATAACTTTAAATTAGGGATCTGCAAAGAGAACGGGACAAATCCAGCTCACTACCTGATTTGTAATTAAAGTTTTGTTGGAACCAAGCCACACTCATTCTTTTACATACTGTTTATGGCTGCTTTCATGCTAGGATAGCAGAGTTGAGTAGTTGCAACAGAAACCATATGGCCACAAAGCCAACCAGGCCCTTTATGGAAAAGTAATAATCCTCGCTGTAAGTAAATTCTAAAAGAAGAGATGATGTAAATTCTGAAAAATTGTTTACAAAATGCTACATAATGCCCCTATTGTGTACATGCCCATGGATGATCTCCCACACTGACTCTGGGTTTGGGCACATGACCTGCTTTTGGCCTTGTGACGCAAGCACAGAGATTTGAAAAGGACATGTACATTGGAGTTTTCCCAATCTTGTTGCTCTTTGGAACTTGGAGTCGTTATGAAGCAGCCCAGATTCCCTGTCTTCGGGAGCAGAAATCTCAGCTTAGCCCTCTCTCCAGACCAGCTAGTCTGCCGACTGCTAGACATCAACATGAGGCCATAATAGATCATCCAGCCCCACATGAGTCAGCCCACCCCCAGATCACTCAGGTGACCTGTAGAATCACGAGAAACTCCTGTTTGTTTTAGCCACTAAGACTTTAGGTGGTTTGTTATGTTATTTGAAACAATAAAAGAAAATAATTCAACTTTTTAAAAAAATCGTTATATTTTAGTTAACAGAATTGTTTTGAACCTGTAGCGTTGCTGAATCCGTGCACAATTTACCTCTTTTTTTTTTTTTTAGTAAACAAAAGTCAAAGGATAATCAAAAACAGTTATTTAAAATGTTTAACTATTTGGTTAGTGATCTATGAGTCTGACTTACTTTCCTTTAGGTTTTCCTCAATATTAAGACCTGTCCATTTGGTGACTTTTTTGAAGCTCAAAAATTTTTGAAATAGTTTTAAAGAGATTTTGAAGAGCACTGTTATACTTCAGTATAATTTCCGGACAAAATAGGTCTCAAAGATATTTCTGATTTCTAGTTATTTGCTTTGCCTTAATGAGATTACAAAAGAATACAGAGAGGAAACCAGTATTAATAAGGAGATATGTAAATAAATGCTGCCTCTTCCCAAGTCTGTGATCACCTGCCCAGTGGATGTACAGAATAAATATTGTCTGTATAGCTTTTAAGGAGCCTTTGTTTCAGAATTCCAAATTACACTTTTTAAAATAATATTTCTTTATAACAAAAGCTAGCTTGAAAGTAAAACTTTGAGAATTTACCTGTTATATCACAATTTGTTTTTCACTTTGCCTTCTACAGTAGTCACAAATATTAGTAATATAGTAACTTTAATAAACTCTAGTGAAAGTTATTTCCATTTTTTATTTGTTCCTTGAATGTTACTTGTAAATCCTGGGAATATTAATATTAAGTAATACATTATTAAGTCATCTTAATTATCAAATTTATTTAAATAGCAGTTGCAGCATTTACTTTTATAAATGAGTTATAAAATGCATATCAGGTTTTAAAATGCAACTAATCTCTTTTTTAATTATTTTTTTGAACAGTCTCAAGATAAAACATCAGGAGGCATTAATCCAGAACCTTGTCCAATCTGTGCTCGGCAGCTGGGAAAACAGGTGATAAAATAATTAATAGCATATGAATTTATAAAACACTTTACACTTTTCAAAGGCATTTACCTATAATAGCTCTCTTTTTTTCTCATGACAGTTTTATATGCAAGGCAGAAATGACCTCCACCTTAAAAATAGGGCCAAAGGTTAGGTGAGAAGTTTAGTGCCACATATGTCTGAGCAGTGTTCCTCCTTAAGTGATAGGCGAAAACGTATTTCTAGAATAACCCCACATTTTTCATTAAAGATGCATAGTTTTGCATATTGTTTCCAGTCACAAGATCAAGTCTAAGTAATTTGACTTTGTCAGTTTAACATGTTTATTTGGTAATTGTACAGAAATAGAGCATACATAGATTTACTTAAGGTATTACAAAGGTATAGTAACATAGCTCTTACTTGGGATTATTAATATTTAATAACCAGACTTTAAAGTATAAATAATATCAATCCTAGGGGAATTTAGATATGATTTTTACAAGGCCATTGTAACAAGAATAAATCTTTCAAATATTAGTGTACAAATTTCTATAAACCAAGCACCATATTAGTTCTCCTCAAAGAGATTCTTTTATCCTACTAACTGTGATTTTTGAAACTACAAATTTCTACTTTGTATGATAAATCAATATATACAGTATCAATATTAATTGCTTCTAAAATTTGAAGTCAGTAAAAGTGTTCTTGGCTGTTGTTTTCTATGGAACCAAGAGTAAAAAGTTAAATATATGAGCTCCACATTCTGACCAGCAATAATCAGAAAGAAAGTACCTTTTAGTTTCCACAATTTATGGAGAAAGTGGGTTTTAAAGGACATTTTATTGATAATAAATCTTAAATGCATCAATATTACTTTGGAAACTAAGCAGAATAATAATGTACAGAGACTGGTGATTTCTGAGAAAAGTCATTGGTAAAAATATGGTAAAAGTCGTGATAAAAATGGAAAGGATCATGAGGTAAGTAGTGTCTTTTTTACTTTTAGTTTCAGTGAGAGTCACACAACTGGATGAATCAGAAGTTTTGTTTGTGTCTTAAACGTTTCCAGTTTTTAAAGTTCTTTCATATACATTATTTCATTTAATTTTAGTATAACCTATATTTCCTTCACTTAGAAGAACATACTAGATTACAGTAAGGTAACAATACTTCACTTTTTAAATTCTGTTCCTCCCCACAGCCTGTAGGAACTCTAGATCCTTTTTATCTTCCCAGTTCTCCTCTTCCCCTCCTAATTTAGAGGATCCATCAGAGGTAATTCATATACTGGCTACATCCCTGGAGGCATTGCCATTTGGGCTTGTTTGGGCTGCTTCAGTTAACTTCTAGTCACTCCTGAGGCTCTGATGCCAAGTGTCTGATTTCTCCTGAATTGCAGGTGTAGATGGACTTATCTTTTCAGCTTGTCCATTCTGAGCTCTCATGAGCCACAAAAGTTCTCTCAAGTAAAGGAAGTGCCCTTCATCCCTACAGGCACTAAAGGTACACAGGGTACAGAAAAATGCTTCTGTGTTTACAAAAATGCTAGTGAGGGGCGCGTGGGTGGCTCAGTCGGTTAAGCGACCGACTCTTGGTTTCAGCTCAGGTTAAGATCTCGGGGTCATGGGATCGAGCTTAGCATCGAGTCTGCTTGGGACCCTCTCCCCCTGCCCCTCCCGCCCTCTCTAAAATAAATAGATAAATCTTTTAAAAAAGAATTGCCAGTGAAACAGCTGTTTAATTTTACTGCAGCCTCAACTCTTGAGGACTGACACAAGAGAGCAGATGTGCAGCTAGACAACAGCATGAACAGCATCAGCCAGTAAAACCCCAAACAGCCCCTCCCCCTTCTCAAAAATTATTTTCAAACCAAGTTTATATACCTCATTTTTCTCTTCCCTTAGTGTGAGTTCTTTTCGAAGGGACTTCTTAGTCTGTCCTGAAAAGCACCCCAGGTGGGCCCAGCTGTGCACCTTCTTTCTGTGCACATCCATACATATCTGAATCCTAGAAAAACACAGCTTAGTGCTTGGGAACCTAGTCACTCATAATACCACTCAATCTTTGTTGTTGTTGTCTACCAGGTGAAAAAGT